AATAAACAGTAAAATGAAACATTTCCTAAAACATGAATGAAATAATAACGCCCATTAAAAGTAAAAAAAGTAACAACAGCAGCAAACTCGCTGCGAATTTTAGGACATAAAAGAGTTCGCTGCGCTGATCCCAACGCGGGATGGTCGACTTCACATATAAAAAGTATTCTCGAAATATTTGATTTAACTTTTTAGATATTCAGGTTTCCTCGATATGTTTTCCATCACCGTCGAGAATATAAGTAAACGACTTCAAATTGCAGTTAAAATATGAGTGGTGTCAGCGTGAATGGATTGTTTACGTAATATAAAATTTACGTTTGGATCAGTTCGATTATAGACTTTGACAGGGTCAAAATTCTATCAATGCAGTTCTTCACTCATAGTTAAAATAAAAATAAACCTGTGTTTAAAGTAATATTTGCTGTTTTCTGATACCTATTTGAAGTACGAGGGTGGATTGAAAAGTACTCGGCCTAACCAAGAAAATAAACAAATACTAAATCAGTTATATTTTTATTTTTCTACATAATCACCATCAAGTTCAATACACTTAGGCCACCTCCCCTTCCAAGCATTTAGACCGTTGAAAAAAAATGATTCTTCCTTAGAGTCAAAATATGCGTCTACAGCTGCTTTGACCTCGTCGTTTGTCGAAAATCTTTGACCTCCCAAGTGCTTTTTTAGGTTAGGGAACAGAAAGAAGTCTGATGGTGCCAGATCAGGTGAATACGGCGGATGCGGTAACAGTTCAAAGCCACAGTTGTGAATTTCAGCCATTGACTGTACTGACGTGTGAACACGGGCGTTATCTTGATGAAACCATGGACCTAGAATTCTAGGTCCATGGATGAAACAGGACTTTTCTTCTGAGCATTCCTCGACGTTTTTCTTTTATTTCCTCTCGTAAACGACGTAGTAAGGTGCAGTAGTAATCAGAGTTTATATTCTGACCCCTTTCAAGATAATCAATCATAATCACACCTTTCGAGTCCCAGAATACTGAAGCCATCACCGTATTTGCCGACAAAATCGACTTAGCCTTTTTAGGGGGTGGTGAACCAGGTCTTCTCCACTGTTTTGATTGTTGTTTTGTTTCCGGTGTACAGTAATGAACCCATGTTTCGTCCATAGTAACAAAACGATTCAAAAAATCATCTGCATCGGCTTCAAATAACTCCAAACAGTCGCGTGAAATAGTCAATCGCGTCCTTTTTTGTTCAACTGAAAGCAGTCACGGAACCCACCTCGCAGACACCTTGTGGAAACCCAACTCGTTGAAAATGATGTTTTGAGTTCGTTCATAAGAGATGCCTATAATCTCGGCTATCTCTCTAATTTTTAATCTGCGGTCTCCCATTATTAAATCAAGTACTTTTTTAATATTTTCGTCAGTAGTTGACGTCGAAGGCCTTCCAGAGCGGGGTTCATCTTTCACACTCTCTCTACCACGCTTAAATTCTGCTATCCATTTTTTGACGAATGAATATGACAGAGCACAATCGCCTAATGTACTGACCATGTCATCATGGATGGCTTTTGATGATAGCCCCTTCTTATGGAGGTACTTAATGACGGCACGCTGCTCGATTTGCTCCATTTGCGGAAATTATGTCCGATTACTTTGTTAATAAATTTATAAAATCACAACTAATTATCGCACACGTTTCGAACTTCACACAATGAACTAGTCTGAACTGAACTAAACAATGTGGGTAGATTTGATTTTTAGAATTGAATGGATCTGTGTTAGGCCGAGTACTTTTCAATCCACCCTCGTATTTTTTCGCTAGAGACTTCATTTTCATATAGAGGCTGTCACAAAAATCTTAAAAGGTATCTGAAAATATGAAAGCTATCTTAATATATGACAAACTGTTTTATCAGTCTCATTAAAAATAAAAAAGTAATATAGCAGCTTGCATACATACGTCTTACGATATTCCACTGGGCTCCTAATTACCCTTACTGTTTTGTGAACAGGAAAGAGTCAATTCAATGCGTATTAGCGATTTTCACATTCCCACTATTTTTTTTTATAAAACTACTTAGACATCTAGGTTTTCCCACCAAGTTATTCTTCACCACCGCACAAAAAAATTAAATTAGCACATAGGACCCAAACCAGTGTCATTGGTCCCCGCGGGAATCGTAGATCCATGTTTTGCTCCCGCGTGCCATGAAATCTTACGGCGAGCACGGCTAATGTATTTGTATAAAATTCATAAAAACTGAAAAGAAGCTTTTGTACAACTGTGAACCTGTCCTGTCTGTGACTCAAGTCCTTCCCGTGACCATGGGACCAAAAAATAGTTTTATTCAATGTGTAGTGTTCGCGTAAATATAAGAAATCATTATCTTACAGTGCACTTAATTTTCCTACTTACTTACCTATAAAACTTAAGTTAGTGAATTTGTTTCTAAGTGAAATTATTGCTATGCCGATGGACACCTGATATATTCAATTAAAGAACTTCTATCTTAATCACAGTTTTGTGTACACGGTATTCAGTATTAAGAGTTTAGTCAGTCATTTTGCCAAACGTGGCAATAACCATCTATGTGTCATCCACACGACCTTTTCTGCCACCAGTGCGGCGCCACTTTGAAATGTGGTGTAATATTTGACTAGGGCAAGTTAATTTATTCGAAAAGTGTAGAGTGTGTTTCTTTCTCAAATATTAATTATATTAATTACATTAGAAAATAAAAAACCAAACTATGGACAGGTATTCCTAAAAGTAGAAGAATTAAATAAAATTAAGAATGTGTAAAAAATTAAAGAACAGAGCAGTGATGCATTGTTTTGTGTATATGCATAAACTAGAAACCGCATAACCCTTATTTATAACGCAATTTTTCAGTTATATGATGACATTGTGTGACCACTTCCGTGATCAATAAAATCATGTCAATCCCAGCTAGCGACATCTGGTACATATTAGATTATTAGCTCTCATTACGGTATATTATTATTGGGGTTATCTATAAAGTTTTCTCATCTGGTTGGGCTGTTTAAATATATAATTGTAAACGAAAGATATAAACATACATCATCATCATCATTACAGCATTATAGCCTAAGTCCACTGCTGAACATAGGCCTCCCCCAAGGAATGCCACAAAGCACGGTTCTGAGCCACCTGCATCCATCGACTTCCTGCATGTCTTACCAGGTCGTCACTCCATCTCGTGGGGGTCGCTCTACACTTCGCCTACCGGTACGAGGCTGCCACTCGAGAACCTTTTTTCCCCATCGGTTGTTGGTTCTTCGAGCTATATGGCCGGTCCACTGCCACTTCAGCTTACTAATTATAATTATAACATACATAAATATCAATAAAATTGAATAAATACATAAAAAATACATAAATATATAAAAACTCAACCAGATGAAAGCCCTCGGCAGGGGAGGCCAAACGGCCGAGGGTTAGGGGGAAAGGGAAAGAAACCGGTGGACGATGCGGGCGGTATCGAGGAGCACCGCCTTCTGCATTTGAGCTTGGAGCGTTCCGTCACGGAATCCCAGTCGCCTCAGGTGACCCGAGAGGCTGACTGGAATTAACCCGTACGCAGAAACGACCACAGGAATTATTATTATTATACATTAGCAGGCAGGCAGTGAGACAACTGATAATGCCTTTTGTGTCCACTAGTTACATCTTTGGTAGTTCAGAAAATGATTATAAATTTCAAGTCTCTAGGCCTTATGGTTCCAGAGATATCGTAATGAGTCAGTAAATAGGTGGAAATCTCTTACATAAATAGATAGATAATATAAATTTGGTTTAATAAATCACTTAAAAAAAAAACGTATATTATAGAATACATCACTTAAAGATACTGTTAAAAATGCGCTATCAGCGCTGCTGGCGGTGTATAATGAGTTATTTTAATATCATCAAACGATCTTTATTCATTTGATTTGGTTATGCTACATGACATGATCAACGAACAGTATTAAATTTTATGGAATGCCACCATTTCATGAAATTGATCGACTACTATAAGATACACCCAGTACACCCAGTGCGTGTTGCCAGTGATGACATACGGAACTGAGACGTGGTCCTTCACTGCTGGCCGGATGAGGAAGCTCAAGGTCGCTCAGCGAGCTATGGAGAGGGCTATGCTCGGAGTTTCTCTGCGTGATAAATTCAGAAATGAGGATATCCGCAGTAGAACTAGAGTGACCGACATAGCCCAACGGATTAGTAAGCTGAAGTGGCAATGGGCCGGCCATATAGCTCGAAGAACCGACAACCGATGGGGAAAAAAGGTTCTCGAGTGGCAGCCTCGTACCGGCAGGCGAAGTGTAGGGCGTCTCCCCACTAGATGGAGTGACGACCTGGTAAGATATGCAGGAAGTCGATGGATGCAGGTGGCTCAGGACCGTGCTTCGTGGCATTCTTTGGGGGAGGCCTATGTTCAGCAGTGGACTTGTGAAGGGCTGTAATGATGATGATGATGATGATGACTATAAGATATCTACTATTAATTCTACGATCTATAGGAATAATGAGAGATTTATAATGAAAAATTATAATGTTGTTAATAATTTTATTTAGTACATTTGTACAAATGACTGCTTAAATTAAACATAAATAGCTTTTGTGACTAAACAAAAAATATTTTATTTAAAAAACCAATAATTGTACACTGACAATTATAAGCCAATTACAATTTTATGAGAAATTATATTGTTAATAATTTTATTTAGTACATTTATACAAATGATTGCTCAAATTAAACAAAAATAACTTTTATGGCTAAACAAAATTAATATTTTATTTAATAAACCAAGTGTACATTTACAATTATAACTCAATTACAATTTTATTTGCTATGAAGCATAATTATAAAAGTAAATGTTATTAAAATCGCACAAATTTTTGTATAATAAAACAGCTATAACATTTCCACGAAACCGAGTTACATCTACGAAATAAATAAAAAACGAAACACTTAGATAATTATTTAAGAATTGCTTTTAAAGCACATCACTCGTTACGGGGCCCATACATGAATGGGTTTGACTGCAGTGAGGACTCAGCCAGCTCTGCTGCGTAGTACAAAGTCTCGCCATCTTGCACTTGTTGCACGTTTGCCAAATTAAGAAAATCAATTTGATTCGGTTGGGCTACAGATTGCGCGTATCTTTCGACATTAAAAACGCCCGTCTCGCCAACGTGCGAACGCATGTGGAAATTTAAGTGACTGCTCTGTTTAAACCTCCTCTCACATACACTACATTCGAACGGTTGAATGTTGGTGTGCGTTCGCATATGCTGCCGCAAATGGACCGACTGGGAAAAACATTTGCTGCATATCACGCATTTGAATGGTTTCACTTTGGTATGCGTACGGAGATGTTGGTCTAATCCAGCTTTCTGCGTAAACGCTTTCGGACAAAAGGTGCATGCAAACGGCCGTATTCCGGTGTGCATACGCATGTGCTGCTGTAGGCCGCCTTGTTGAGTAAACCGCTTAGCGCATATCGAACACTGATGTGGTTTCATTTTAACGTGAACTACGCGATTATGCTCATCATATTCCGCGCTGTTAACAAAGTTTTGTCCGCACAAACGACAAGAATATGTTAAGCGAGATGTTGGGTTCATTTGCGGCGCCGAAATATTTGCACCGTAGAAGTCTCTGTCGAGCCGCTTCTCACACACTTGACACCGTAGAGCTGCTTTGCGTCTCTTTGTGTGCTCCTCGCGATAGTGTAGCGAATATTCGCAACAGTTAAAAAATATCTGGCGACATTGAAGATCTGGCCTTATGGATGATGGCAACGTACACGTGAATGGTCCCCTGCAAAAGCCGTAAAGACAAACTTATAAATTAGAAAATACTGCAAACATCCTAATTTACCTACGCAACTTCATACTTTAACCTCTGTCAATAATATGAAAAGATACAAGTGAGATCTTGTAATTTTTAAGAAAACACTTGAGAGTGCCTTTAAGTAACAAGGATAAAATTTTAAGGTAGAGTCAAAGTGAAAAGCAATCGATGATATATTATATATAATTTCATTTGTCATAACTCATTCTCACGTTTTCTACACGAGGTCCCTCGGCTCGGAGAATAAATGATAAACATTTTTTTAAAACAAATTCGAATATTTACGAAGGAACAAAGCGAACAAAATCGTAGTCCACTATATGTTACCTATTATCTATAGTTAACAAGTAATAGATTATGCAAATCATTATTTTTTCGGATCTAGCCATTGAGTTATATGTACTACGTACTAGAGAAGTCATTACGAACATTGACTATGTTCAACTGAACTGTACTGCAATCCGTATAAACTAAATATTGCGTAAATTGAAGATTTGTGAATTCCATAAAATAATTATTATTACATTTTATTTAGAAATATGTTTGTTTAGATTAAATAAAGATATTTTATATTAAATTCTTATATTTATTTTATATTAATATCTTATTTTATATCAAATTAAAGTATTCGCGTATGCGCGGGAGTAGTAGTTGCAGACATAGAGTAGGACACAATTTTTGTTTGGAATGGCTTCTCTAGTACGTAGTACATATAACTCACTGGATTTAGCACATATCCTCAGACTTGTGAGAATACACTAGGTTAGAAAAGAAAATTAAGGCAATCTCCATGCACTATTTTGAACTCCACATACATAAAGCAACAATAGCATTTGGATCCAATGAACAAAAAAACAACCTACCAACCTATCACACGGTGAATTAAAAAAAGCAAGCTGATAATAAATACCTCAAATCAACTGGTGGCTTCCCTTGCTTCATTTGATTACGTCTTATTATTCCATCGAGGCGAGATCTCTTTAGAGCGTTGGGGTCCAAATCCTCGCCTTCGACCTTCACAATCAAGTAACTGGTATCTTCGTGAAAGATGCATTTTGTAAGGCCATCATCACACTGAATAGTAGTGTTTTGTGTCTCCTCACGCCCAATAAATTTAAAACCGCACAAATCTTCGACAATCTAATAAAAAACTAATTCACTAAGTTATTTCCATATCTAAGCTAGTATATACAGGGTTATTTTGCAATAACTGGCCAAATTTGAAGAGAAGGTTCAAAATAAGTAATATAGGCAAATAGTGAAGAAAAATTAATTTAAAAATTATATCAAACATTCTGTCCCTTTGATATTTTAAAATCAAAATGCATGGTGATACATTATTTTAACTGATTGTCATTCATAAATATCTAACGCCTACTATTTTACTACGCACGCACATATTCGGGAGAGTCAATCGGTCGGCAAAAACGTTGTGAATTGAATCACACACACCTGCAACCATCGACTTTTTGTACGTCTCACCAGACCGTCACTCCACATAGTGAGATTACCGCCGTACATTTCAATTACCGGGTACGAGGCTGTCTCGCTTCCTTTCGTCTTATTGCACCGAAGCTATCTTTTCTAGCATACGTAAACATTTGAAAACACTGAGTTAGAGCGGCATCCCTGTCAGAAAGGGTTTAGGCCCTAAACCCGTTCTGCCTAAAACCTTTCTCCCTAAACTTTAGGGAAACGCATTATTTTATTGGACTCGCCGGGCTATATAATTATGTTTTCTGTATGTATTTGACCCACACGCTTCACATAGGTATAAAAAGATTGTGATTATGCTTTACATAGTATTGTTTTAACCTGAGTGCTACAGCGAACAAACTTGCGAGCCAGCATATTCGCCCTAACGGACAGAACCCTACGTTCCCTCTAAATGTACAGATCATCTGTGAGTACCTTAGGACCCAATGACCAAGATACTTAAACTAAGAGAGTCATACTCTTTTAAGATGATAGCCATTTAGAGTGACCGGTGGTACTGATTTGTAAGTTTTCATACTCGACTTTAAGATCATGGATTTACTTTTATTCGCGTTATATCTAAGCCATGGGATTCACTCTGCAGCATAACACTAACAGTACCCTGAATTGTTTCTTAAAACCATTTATAGATGAACTAATCAATACCATTGCGTCGCCATAACTATAATTGTTAACAAAAAGTTCATCAACGCAGCCATCGACCTGAGTACTGCTGAGCTAACCTATTATTTGATCCAGATACAAATCAAAGAATCAGGGTTAGGGCTACCGAGGCTAGAAATTGTGGATTCGGTTAAAAATCCTGATTTTTCGAATAAAGCCGGCATCACGACAATAAAATTTAATAGATTTTATTTCAAATTATTTTTTATAGAATAACGAGCTCATAACCCATCTAATGGTAAGTGGAACTATGGAGGAACATAGACATCTACATCTATCGTCGATTAAGAATCAAAATGCAGATGCCTTGTCACCCCTGAGGACTAAGATGGAATGCCTTGTTTAAACTAAAAAGGGTCTCCAGTTCTCTTTTTTTTATAGAATATGAGTGAAAAACGAGCACATAATACACCTGATGGTAAGTTGATGCTTTGGCCCATAGACTTCTACATTTATCCTCAATTAAGAATCAAAACGCGGATACGTTGTCACCCCTGAGGACTAAGATGGAATGCCACATTGTCAATGAAAGGGTCTCCAGTTATGTAGATAACTGAAGACCCCCCAATCGACATACTTCGATCGAGCCGACCCATTTGTGTTGTAACTTTATATAGCTAGCATAACTGCAGCGTGGATGTAACACGCAAAATACTTTTTATTTTTAGCCTCGTCTTTCAAAAAGTTGCCTTCTCCACTTGTACATTTTTTACTATAATCACAAGTATAGCCGGCGTGGTTGAAATCCGGTCTATATTGAAATCAGGGCGGAACCCCTTTGCTTTTGAAATTCGGTCAAGAATCTATCCGGTTAGACGGTAAACATAGTCATCTTCAGTCTACTCCAACTTATAAGTATCGGATACCGTTCCTTTCCATCTTCAAACATAGTTTGATTGCCATACTTTTATCTCAGTAGTGATATCAATGCACCGAATTTTATAATTGAATTTTATTATTATTTCATTAATGGAATTTTATAACAATACAACAATAAATCCAAGAAACATACAGATGTCGGTGTTTTTCTTTTAATGTACTACTGGACAGTTTACATTATACATATTGCTAATTCGGTAGATAAGCCGGATTTCAAGTCGAATTGCCAATAATTTAATCTTAAATACTTTTCTAAGCGTGTTTTACAGTAGGAGAAAACCACCCGTCCACCCGTAGGCATTTACGAACGGATGATGTAAACATGGTTTCGAAGTATTATGAATGGTATACCTGATTACTGCTCTGTAGTGAGGCAGAGTTTTGGTCAGCGTCACTACCAGAACCGTCAGCGTCGTGCTGTAGGTTCTTATGATTTTGCAAGGCGTTTGCATTATAAAATGTCTTCTTGCACAGGCGACAAATGTGACGGTCAGATGCTTCTTCTTCCCATGATAATGATATTTGCTGAAACAGTAGTTGTTATGCTTTTGAGCCACCGATGCTCATTTAAATTATTTTCAATCTTAAATTAACATATTTAATTGAAAGTGTGTACCCATTCTTCTCAACATTGAAAAATCTTTCAAGCCAAGATTTATTATTCCACGTGCCTGGGCTGGTATTCCACGTACCTTTCTATGGGATGAAACCTATCTAGATAAATTTTTTAGAAAGTGAAACATTATCTAAATACAAAATATGATCTCAAATCGTTACTGCCGTTTCCGAGAAACCAATTATATAAATTCAAGAATTGATTACTTAAGGCCTTAACAGTGGTTGAAATGCCTAAATCTGGGATATTTAAGTAAAAAAATCTCAATAACTGTTCGTTTAATCCACAAAGAAAAAATACAGAATAACAGAAAAGGATTTGGTAAATGTTTTTAATTTAACAAAATTGAATTTTTGTCAACCCCTTATTAGAAAAAAAATCCCCAAAGAGTACCTATCTTTGTCATATTTTGGAAAATTTCTCCAAAACGGCACAAGCTTTTTAAATAGTTCTTACACTAAAAAAAAGGTCTTAAAAATATTAATATTTTTAATTGAGAGTTTTATTTTTATTCCCCGTTTTATAAGAGAATATATCGTTTTTCCTGAAATGGAATATATTTACGCGAGCGCGCATGCTCCGTCGCCCTGTCGCAGTCCGTTTTCGGACATCGTCGAGGGTTGACCGCGCGTCGGTATTGGAGCGACTTCGTTCAAATATATATTAGTTTTTTAAAAGTTATTACTCAATAATAAATATTTTTATGACTAGAAATACTTAATTTAGTTAATATCTGTACACTGGTAACTTTAAATATTATTTTCTAAATAAATGAATTTTTAAAGTGCCCAAAGAAGAAGAAATTTTCGCGGCGACGTTAATTAGTGAAACTGAAAAATGCATTTTTATATAATTTAGATGTGGAACGACGAACTTGCTCTCGTTACTTAGATTTCGATAGTTTTTAATACCTATATAATTTTATTGTTGCATATTTTTATTAATTAGTTGATACTGAATTTTATAATTATGTATTACAATAAAACGCTGTTTTTATGAGTATGACTTTATAAAATATTATTGGGAAGGGAAATGTAGATACAGATACTTACCTTTAGGTACACTGTTATGTAATTAAATCAAACAATTTAAATAAATAAAAAAATGGTGCTTCCCTAAGTATAAATAACTATATAAAGACATTCTTGGGTTTATGGTTTTTTTTTAATGTTAGACAAACTATCATCTAAAAAATGTAAAAATTTTAAATTGGATAGGGGTTTCTCTACGTGATAAAGTTAGAAATGAAGATATTCGCAGTAGAACCAGAGTAACTGACATAGCCCAACGGAATATTAAAGTGAAATGGCAATGGGCTGGCTATATAACTTGGAAAACAGATAAAAAATAGGAAGAAAGGTTCTCGAGGGGCAGGTAACACACACACACACACACACACACACACACACACACACACACACACACACACACACACACACACACACACACACACACACACACACACACACAGGCTCTCTCACTCTCATACACACACACACACACATACACACACGCGCGCGCGCGCGCGCGCACACACACACACACACACACACGCGCGCGCGCGCGCGCGCGCGCACACACACACACACAGAGAGAGAGAGAGAGAGAGAGAGACATACACAGACACACAGAGAGACACACACACACACACACAGAGAGAGAGAGAGAGAGAGAGAGAGACAGAGACATACACAGACACACACACACACGCACGCACACACGCACGCACGCACGCACGCACGCGCGCGCGCACACACACACACACACACACACACACACACAGGTATAATTTTTCTAACCAACCATAAAAATATGATGAGAATATGTATACAAGTATAAAGGTTGCCTCACACGGGACAGTTATAATATAATATTATATCTACGCATGAAAGCTTTTAAAATCTTTGAATCCCGAGGTATGTACCTATTAAGAGGCTGAATAGAGCTCTACTCGGTCGTAACATTGATATGCATGGGGATCGTTTTGTAATTTCACGTCGTTATAGAAAAAAAATTGTACGTATTTCAGGTGAAAATAATTGCAAATTGCTTCTGAAAACACTTAAATTTTCACCGTCAATTTTTTCTTACGTGGTAGAGCCATGCTGCAGCTTTATTAGTAGTAGGTATAGTTGTAGCACGAATGGGTCGGCTCGACCGGGGAAGGGCCACGCTCTCACAGAATACCATGTAAAATAGCAGTTTAACTCTGCTGTGTTTCGTATGGTGAGTGTAGAGAACCGGAGAACCTTTTTACTGGAAACGAGGCATTACATCTTAGTCCTCATGGGTGACAACGCATCTACATTTTGATACGTAACCGAGAATAGATGTAGATGTCTATGGGCCGTAGCAACCACTTACCATCAGGTGGACTGTGCGCTCTTTTGTCACACTTATCCTATAAAAAAAAAAATTATGTGTCTCATGTTAATAAAGCTATTGGGCTATTTTGATTTTAATAAAGTGATTTTACTTTATAGTTTAAATAATTTATTTACCCTTTATATCAAGAACCGTTTTTTCTGTCACTCCTATTGAATTTGACAGTGCTTGCTGAAATTTAGCATCTTTAGATGGATCAGAATCGCGCGCTGAGACCATGACTACCTTATTTTATTTTATTACGGTCAAATAATATATATTAGGTTATAAAGCAAGTATTTATAAATGTTTTCATTATTTTGATATTCTATTGTTTACAGTTATTATCACATCTTAGCTTTACACCAAGAATTACATTAGAAATTCTTGATGGGAAGCGATGTAACGCGCATACTTTATTTTCATCAAGAACTATAATATATATATTTGTTTTTTTTTTTAGTAGAGTTTCAACACAATCTTTAAAAAGTTCAATGAATTAAGAAAATGCCGATAATTATATAATTTCAAATCAGTGTTTTACATTTAAAGATCAGTTACAGAGCCAACGTTCTTATTTTCATTTTGATTAATTTTATTCGAGACTAAAATAAATGTGAAAGGGCTTTTATCTGCAATAATAATTTTCATCAAAAATAACATAGACTTATAAAAGTCATATACACGGTCAATCATACTGAAGATTATCAATTGTACTACAAAATATTTACAAGTCTATTTCCAGTATAATGACCCGAATATCATCAATAATGGTTGACTGGCACGCTTAAAAGTTTTATCACATGGCTAAATGATTGACTATTATATTATGATAAGGTCATGCTTTTCTATAAAAAGTTGCAATAAATTTTAAATCACGAACCTATTGGTTTGTTTTACTTTTCACTTAATTATTAAAAAACAAGATAGGACTGATCTAAAAGTTTACTTTCTTGTATAAAAAGTGCTATTTAGAATTTTATGCAAATGATAATTAAAGTTTCTATGTAAATAAGTGTAACATAGCGGGTATTATATTCAATGGTAGCGGCCATCCATATTTGCAAAGCCAGCATCATTTTCTGTACAGAAACCGGCAAAGTGTTGCTCAAGTCACTATAAACAAAGCAGCTGTTAAAAATGTTACACTCATAACTGTTAACAAAAACTGTTACTGCAAATGGTCTTATAGATAATAATAACTATTCCGCCGTGTTAGGTGCAGGAGCTATTATTAGAAGAAGAGGTAAAATTTTGTTGCATGCGCAATCAATATTGTTATGTCTGCAATTGAGCATAAAATAAAAAATAACTTCAGCCAAAGAGTATAACTAGCATTATATTCAGGCCCATCAATTGGTATGGAAAAAAATAATTTTACCAGGTTTGAAAAAATCAATCAAATATCAAAAAAATATAAATATTAAAATCAAAAAATGTATATATGTATGTCTATACATACATATAATGATTTATGGCCGCTTAGTAACTGACGGTGACTCATTATAACATCCTACAGTTACGCCGAAACTAAGAGGAGAGAATCACTGTAGAAAATTTAATAATTTATTGCAGAAATTTTGTGATAAAATTAAAACAATTACAAACTTATCCAAGTTAATCTAACTTAGTCTAACTTATCCTTATGCGTTACAAAAAAAAAACAAATAATGAAATAGTGAGATGGCGCCCGTTTTTAAGAAGATATAACAAAAATAAACAAAAAAAGAAATTTTAAAAATAGTTCAGTATTTAATTGATTATATACCGCTGACACTTAATCACGCTTTTCGAAACCACGCCAGTTGTAAACAATACTTGTGTGAAAAATGGTGTACACAAGATAATTAAGAACAGACAAAATCTTCTTTTCAAATTTCCACCGAGTTGTAAGTAGAAGGCCAAATAGGTCATGTGTCAATTTTAATTAAATATATTTTATACGAAGTGATCTTGACTACGTTTCATCAATTAACCATTGTTAAAAATTAAAACAGGAATTTTACAATTGTGTTTACAAGAAACATTATTTGTTGAACCTTGCAGCTTGTTCATTATTTTTAAATATCTATAAATGTATATATTGTTAATAAATGATTCCCATAATATTTTGTATTATTTATTATTATGCCCTATCTGCAATATTCTCGCTCTATAGCAATGTGGCGTATGACATGACTGACAATCTCTTAAATGTTTTATCTAGGTACAAAGATGTTTTACGTTTTCGTCGCCTCCACATGATATTTTTGTCAGCATAAGGTACCCTTCTGTATCTGAAACGAATATGAATATTGCTACAAAGTAAAGTAATAGGCTATACAAGTCCCTCTATGGGCACAGGACTCGTTTTATTTCTGATAGGGTTTTAGGGCAAGGAAATGCCCGCCGCGCTGCCCCAATGCGTGTTGACGAAAATTGCAATTACAAATTTCATTCGTGCAGTCGGGGATCAAACCCGGGAAAAATTTCCAGCGAACGCTTTGACCCAGATCTACTAATACGACACAAATAAATACGATTTAACATATATAATAAAAAACTCTTACGTACT